CTTCTTCTAAGTCCACCATCTCTTCTTCCCCTCTCACCACCTGACTTCTCAGTATCAGTGGACTACTACAGAGAGAGAGTTGTGACTTGAGACTTCACAGGTTAGTACCGGAACAATGGGAAGGCGAAACCAGCATCACAGGCCGAAAATGGACAGCCAGCACCATGGGTCAAGTTTAGCTTGACCAAGGCGGAGTACAAGTTTTGCCAAGATCAGGCCAAGGAGGATGTGCGACCCCGTCTCAAGTCGGGAAACTGAGTTTCGCGGGAGGTGAGGCGACTCCTCCTTCCACTCAGCCAGATTCGGCCGCCTTGCTAGCGGCCTCCTGCACATCTGGGGAGGATGCGAATGTCGTAAGTCCTCGATACACTTACGAGGACTATGATGTCCACTTGGTTCCACCGCTGGACCAACCGCTCCACGTGCAACAATCAACCGCATGCACGGTTTCATCACCATCGGCAACCGATTCGGCAGCTTCGCTGCCATCTATCGCCAGGGATTCGACGTCATGGTCAAGACTTGAAGACCTCGACCCATTGACGTTCGCGGACTTCCAATGGATGCCCGTTCCCTCGACCGGACGATTGTCGAAACCGCATTGCAACGTGCTCATGGCACAACTGCAGTACCGACTCCGTTGATGGACGCCGGGGTAGAGGTTGTCGACCTTCACGCCTACATTGCGAAGATCGACCGCGAGTTCAAGACGCAACGGTACGACGACATCGACGCACCATTGCTATATGTACGCATTCAGATCGGAGAGGCGACCTGGAGCGTTTTGATCGATTGCGGAGCATCTCGCAACTACATCAGCCAGGACTTCATGGTGCGCGCCGGCCTTGGCCCACGCGTCCGAAGGAAGCCCCAACCCACGCAAGTCACGTTGGTGGACGGTCACACGCACAAGTCAATCGACCGGTGCATTGATGACATCCCAGTGTACTTTGCCCCTCACGCAAGTGAGGCGGTATCCTTTGACATTCTAGACACCAAATTTGACATGATCTTGGGCATGTAATGGCTGCGAAGCGAGGATCACCTAGTGAACTTCTATAACCGCACCGTTCACATTCGTGATCAGAACGGAATACTAGTCCCATGCACGGTGCCTCTTCCTCATCCTTCGATCAGCTGCCACGTGGTATTCGCCGCAAGCATGCGAGCTTCCATCATCAGAGACGACATCGAGGAGATGGGGGTGTGTTTTCTTCACGCCCTCCCGCCCCATGACGCTTCATCGACGGACTCGTCTTCGGATCCACGCATCACCAAACTTCTCGACGCCTACAGCGACGTGTTCGAAGGCCCGCACGAAGTAGTACCGGATCGGCCCATCCGCCCCGAGATTATCCTCGAGGAGGGGGCGTACCTCCGCGCGGTTGCATCTACCGAATGAGCAAGGAAGAGTTAAGTGTGCTTCGGGCACAACTCGACAACCTTCTGGAGAAAGGCTGGATTCGGCCTAGCTCATCGCCATACGGTGCTCCTATTCTCTTCGTCCGGAAGAAGAACAAGGATTTGCGGTTGTGCATCGATTATCGCAAGCTCAACGCGCAGACGATCAGAAACGTTGGCCCTCTCCCACGCATCGACGACCTTCTCGAGCGACTGGGCGGCGCCAAGTTCTTCTCCAAGCTGGACCTCAAGTCGGGATATCACCAACTCAAGATTCGCAAGGAGGATCGCTACAAGACCGCGTTTAAGACGCGATATGGGCATTTCGAATGTCTGGTTATGCCATTTGGCCTTACGAATGCCCCGGCCACTTTCCAAGCGGCTATGACAACGGAGTTCCGACACATGCTAGATCGATACGTACTTATCTACCTCGACGACATCCTGGTGTACAGCCGGAGTTTGGAGGAGCATGTGGAACACCTGCGCACCGTTTTGGAGCGGCTACGACAGGCCAAGTACAAAGCCAACCGCGACAAGTGCGAATTCGCGCGGAAGGAGCTGGAGTACTTGGGCCATTATGTGACGCCGCAAGGCATCCATCCGCTCGCGAACAAGATCGAGGCCCTACGAGTATGGCCCGAGCCCACCAACACCACGTTCGTTCGTTCATTCATGGGATTGGCGGGCTACTATCCACGATTCATCACCGGATACTCGAGGATTGCTGCACCTATGACGAGATTACAATCGCCAAAGCTGCCATTCGTATTCGCTGACGACGCACGCCGGTCATTCCAAGCACTTAAGTTGGCTATGCTCATGGCACCCGTCCTTAGCATCTATGACCCCACCCTGCCGATGAGAGTGACTACGGACGCTTCCGGCTATGGCATTGGGGCAGTCTTGGAACAGCACGACGGCGACGACTGGCACCGTGTGGAGTATTTCAGCCACAAAGTGCCTCCCATCAACTCGCTTGATGATGCAAGGAAGAAGGAGCTGCTCGCATTCGTGATGGCTCTCAAGCGCTGGCGGCACTTCCTCCTTGGGTGTCGTAGGTTCACATGGGTTACGGACAACAATCCATTGACCTACTACAAGACGCAGGATACGGTGAGCAGCACGATCGGACGATGGATGTACTTCATCGACCAATTTGACTTCACACCGAAACATCTACCCGGCCTCTCAAATCGCACAGCAGATGCACTCTCGCGAAGACCTGATCTTTGCGCTATGACACATCATGCCTTCGCATCCGATGAGGAGCTTCAGCGACACTTCATGGGGGCATATGAGTCTGATCCGGACTTTGCCACGCTATATGCACAGCTATCTTTGGATCACCTGCCGGCCAGCCACTATCGCATTGCCGACGGGTACTTGCTACTCCACTTGAGAGGCAAGGACTTATTGTGTGTCCCACGAGACCGTCGTCTTCGGACTCGCCTTGTCTGGGAGTACCATGACTCGCGACTCGCCGGCCGTTTCGGAGTCAACCGCACCATTGCACGGCTTCGACAACGATTCTGATGGCCTGACCTCATTACCGATGTCACTCGGTATTGCGAATCTTGCGAAGTTTGCCGACGCAGCAAACCCCGCAACCGCAATCCCTATGGCGAATTACGCGCGATGCCGATCCCACGGGAACCCAGTCTCTCCATTGCCATGGACGTCACCGGTCCGTTCCCTCGCGACCGGCTCGGACACGACGGCATCCTCACGGTTGTGGACCAATTGAGTAAGTACGCGCGTTTTCTTCCTTGCAAGTACTACTCTACGGCTCCCGAGCTGGCACGCCTCCTGCACACCGGTTGGATTTGTGGCCATGGTGTACCAGAAGACATAGTCAGCGACCGCGACACTCGCTTCATGTCGGCATTTTGGACTTCTCTCATGCAGGAGTCCGGCACAAAGATGAAACCAAGTTCGGCTCGGCATCCACAGACGGACGGGCAAACGGAGCGGGCACATCAAACCGCTCAAATGATGCTTCGTACGCTCATCCGTCCGGACCAGAAAGATTGGGTTGACCGCCTCCCCGACATCGAGTTCGCCTACAACACTTCGGTGCACCCGGCGATCGGCGTGAGTCCATTCGAGTTGCACCACGGTGGACGGAAAGGCCGTATCTTCGCCGACCTTCTCCTCCCTCGACCATCCGACATGCCGCTTGCTCTCCCGCTTCCGTCCGAAAGTACAGGGAATTGCTGACTCAAGCCCGCGCGAATATGCAAAAGGCTCAAGTCCGCATGCAGCAGCAAGCCAACAGGCGTCGCATGCCATGTCCCATCCGAGCCGGTGATCTGGTTTGGGTCTCCGTGGAAGAGTTTGCACTGGAACAGGATGTTTCACGCAAACTGCTTCCCAAGTGGTTTGGACCATGGTCTGTGACATCAGCCGCGGGCGATGAGCTCGATGGCCCTTCATTTGTGATCAACATTCCCGAGCATCTGACGGTCCATCCAGTCTTTCACGCCTCGAAGCTGGCAACATACACGCCAGCTAAGAGCGACGACTTTCCGGGCCAACGATCGCAGGACCCTCCATCTATGGATGGTCATCAGGAGGTTGACCGCGTCATCTCGGATCGCAAGTACGGCAGCAAGCCGCGACAGTACAAAGTTACATTCAGAGCATGCGATCCCGACGACACTCGGTGGATTTCAGGAGCAGATTTGAAAGGATCCGCACCGCTGATCTACGCTCACTACGAGCGACAACGGTTAGCTAAGGGACCTCCACGACCAGCCCCTCCCACCCGGACTGTGGTCCCTCCCTCAGACAGACAGCTTCGCCCTTGCAGGTAAGCTCGGTCTTTCAAGGAGGGGGGGGGGTGGCATACTGCGTAGCCACACGGGCCCTGCAGGGCCTGTCCCGCACTTTCAGCCTAGAAGCTGTCCCGCACTTTCAGCCTAAAAGCCTAAAACTTAGGGCTTACAGGCCCCTGTCGTTCAGCCTGAAAGCTGAAATACGAGGGCCTGCAGGCCCTACTCCGTTTCAGCCAGAGGCTTTTTAGCCTGAAACGGAGGGCCATTTTCAGGCCCAGGCCCTCATTGTGTTCGACCTACCTAAGACTCAGGCACGAAAACAGGGTTTCGGAACAGGCCAGAAATAGCCTGTTCCCCACGCCAGCTCGAGCAGGAGCTGCAGCTGCAGCCCCTGCCTCCCTGCGGCATTGGCAAGAGCAGCCTCCTGAACTGCTCGCCTGCAGTCAGGAGGCAGACCCG